CACAAAGAAATGGAAAAATGTTCCATGCTCATGGATTGGAAGAACAAATATTGTGAAGATGTCAATGCTATCTAGAGCAATCTACACATTCAATGCAATCCCCATCAAAATACCATCCACTTTTTTCAAAGAAATGGAACAAATAATCCTAAAATTTGTATGGAACCAGAAAAGACCCCGCATAGCCAGAGGAATGTTGAAAAAGAAAAGCAAAGCTGGCGGCATCACAATTCCGGACTTCCAGCTCTATTACAAAGCTGTCATCATCAAGACGGTATGGTACTGGCACAAAAACAGACACATAGATCAATGGAACAGAATAGAGAGCCCAGAAATGGACCCTCAACTCTATGGTCAACTAATCTTTGACAAAGCAGGAAAGAATGTCCAATGGAAAAAAGACAGTCTCTTCAACAAATGGTGTTGGGAAAATTGGATAGCCACATGCAGAAGAATGAAACTGGACCATTTCCTTACACCACACACAAAAATAGACTCCAAATGGTTGAAAGACCTCAATGTGAGACAGGAGTCCATCCAAATCCTAAAGGAGAACACAGGCAGCAACCTCTTCGACCTTAGCCGAAGCAACTTCTTCCTAGAAACATCACCAGAGGCAAGGGAAGCAAGGGCAAAAATGAACTATTGGGACTTCATCAAGATAAAAAGCTTTTGCAAAGCAAAGGAAACAGTCAACAAAACCAAAAGACAACCAACAGAATGGGAGAAGATATTTGCAAATGACATATCAGATAAAGGGCTAGTATCCAAAATCTATAAGGAACTCATCAGACTCAACACCCAAAGAACAAAGAATCCAATCAAGAAATGGGCAGAAGACATGAATGGACATTTTTCCAAAGAAGACATCCAAATGGCCAACAGACACATGAAAAAGTGCTCAATATTGCTTGGCATCAGGGAAATCCAAATCAAAACCTCAATGAGATACCACCTCACACCAGTCAGAATGGCTAAAATTAACAAGTCAGGAAACGACAGATGTTGGCAGGGATGCGGAGAAAGGGGAACGCTCCTACACTGTTGGTGGGAATGCAAGCTGGTGCAGCCACTCTGGAAAACAGTATGGAGGTTCCTCAAAAAGTTGAAAATAGAGCTACCATATGATCCAGCAATTGCACTACTGGGTATTTACCCCAAAGATACAAAAGTAGGGATCCGAAAGGGTACGTGCACCCCGATGTTTATAGCAGCAATGTCCACAATAGCCAAACTGTGGAAAGAGCCAAGATGTCCATCGACAGATGAATGGATAAAGAAGATGTGGTATATATATATATACAATGGAATATTATGCAGCCATCAAAAGGAATGAGATCTTGCCATTTGCAACGACGTGGATGGAACTGGAGGGTATTATGTTGAGCAAAATAAGTCAAACAGAGAAAGACATGTATCATATGACCTCACTGATATGAGGAATTCTTAATCACAGGAAACAAACAGGGTTGCTGGAGTGGGGGGTGGGGTAGGAGGGATGGGGTGACTGGGTGATAGACACTGGGGAGGGTATGTGCTCTGGTAAGCGCTGTGAATTGTGCAAGACTGTTGAATCTCAGATCTGTACCTCTGAAACAAATAATGCAATATATGTTAAGAAAAAAAAAAAAGAAGGTAGCAGGAGGGGAAGAATGAAGGGGGGGAAATCGGAGGGGTAGACAAACCATGAGAGACGATGGACTCTGAAAAACAAACTGAGGGTTCTAGAGGGGAGGGGCGTGGGAGGATGGGTTAGCCTGGTGATGGGTATTGAGGAGGGCACATTCTGCATGGAGCACTGGGTGTTATGCACAAACAATGACTCATGGAACACTACATCTAAAACTAATGATGTAATGTATGGGGATTAACATAAGAATACAAAAATTTAAAAAAAAAGATAACATAAGCATATATATAGAAAATCCTAAGCAACCCACCAAAAAGAATTATGAGAGTTGGGCGCCTGGGTGGCTCAGTTGGTTAGGCGACTGCCTTCGGCTCAGGTCATGATCCTGGATTCCCGGGATCGAGTCCCGCATCGGGCTCCCTGCTCGGCAGGGAGTCTGCTTCTCTCTCTGACCCTACTCCCTCTCATGCTCTCTGTCTCTCATTCTGTCTGTCTCAAATAAATAAATAAAATCTTAAAAAAAAAAAAAAAGAATTATGAGAGCTAATAAATGAGTTCAGAGAGGCTTCAGGATACAAGATAAAGATACCCCAAAAAAGGGGTATTTCTGTACACTAACAATAAGCCATCTGAAAATTAAATTAAGAAAATAATTCTATTTATAATATCATTAAAAAGAATTTAAAAATCTCTAGGAATAAATTTAACCAAGAAAGTGAAAGACTTGTACACTGAAAATTATAAAACATTACCGAAAGAAAGTGAAGACCAAAACAAATGGAAAAATATCCATGTTCATGGATTGGAGACTTAATATTGGTAAGATGACAACACTCCCTGAATTGATCTTCAGATTTAATGCAAAGTCTTTCAAAATCTCAGCTGATGTTTTTTTTTTTTTGCAGTAATTGATAGGCTGATCTTATTTATATGGAATTTATATGGAAACACCAGGGTCACAGAATTGCTAACGCAATCTTGACAAGGAAGATCTAAATTGGAGGCCTAACACTTCCTGAATTAAAAATTTACTACAAACCTACAGTACACAAGACTGTGATACACTGGCATAAGAATAGACATAGAGATCAATGGAATGCAGCTGAGAGTTCAGGGGAAAAAAGAACACCTCCCATTCATAGTAAACTGATTTTCAATATGGGTGCCAGATCAATTCAAAGGCAAAAGAAGACTTTTTTCAATAAACAGTACTGGAAGATTGGGCATTTATATGCAAAAGAATGAAGTTGAACCCTTATCTCATACCCTATACAAATACTAACTCGAAATGAATTAAATACTTTAACAGCCTAAACTATAAAATGCTTAGAGGAAAATGAGTTAATCTTTATGACCTGGGATCAAGCAATGGTTTCTTAGATATGTCACCAAAAGCACAAACAACAAAAGAAAAAAAAAAGAGATAAATTAAACTTCATCAAAATTTTTTAAATTTGTACTTCAGAGAACACCATCAAGAAAGTGGAAAAACAACCCTGATATAGGAGAACATATGCAAATCATATATCTGATAAATGACTTGGATCAAATGCATCAACAACTCTTGCCACTCAGTAATAAAGCCACATAATCCAATTTAAACACTGGGCAAAGGACATTAATCGACATTTCTCCTAAGAAGTCATACACATGGCCAATAAACACTTGGAGAGATACTCAACGTCATTAACCATCAGGGAATTTCGAATGAGAACTACAGTGGCATCCCACTCCCCTCGAGGATGGCTGTCATCAAGTCAGACAACAACAAGTGTTGGTGAGGATGAGAGAAATCAGAACCCTCGTTTCCTGCTGGTGGAAATGGAAAATGGTGCAGCTGCTTTGGAAGACAGTATGGCAGCTCTGAAATGTTACACGTAGATGGACCATACGAGCCAGCAATTCCATGCCTAGGTGTCTACCCAAGAGAGCTGAAAATAATTTCCACATGAAAACTTGCACACAAATGTTCCTCGCAGCACTCTTCACAATTGTCCCAAAGTAGAAACAACCCAAATGTCCATCAGCTGATGAATGGATAAACAAAATGTGGTGCATCCATACCCTGGAATAGTATTTGGCCATAAGAAGAAGCAAAGTACTGGTATGTGCTACAACATGAATTAACTTGGTAAAAATTATACTAAGTTAAAGATGACAGTTGCGGGTGCCTGGGTGGCTCAGTTGGTTAAGCGACTGCCTTCAGCTCAGGTCGTGATCCTGGAGTCCCAGGATCGAGTCCCACATCGGGCTTCCCACTCAGTGGGGAGTCTGCTTCTCCCTCTGACCCTCCCCCTCTCATGCTCTCTCACTCTCTCTCTCTCTCAAATAAATAAACAAAATCTAAAAAAAAAAAAAAAAAAAGATGCCAGTTGCAGAGGTCCACGTGTTATAGGATATATACATATATATATGCAATGTCCCAAACAGGAAAATCTATAGAGAAGAAATTAGCTTAGTGGTTGCCAGGGATTGAAGGGTTGAGAAGAAATGGGGAGCAGGGAGCGATGGCTAAAGGAAGTACAGACTTCCTTTTGGGGGTGATGAAATGTTCTAGAATTGATCGTGGTGATGGCTGCACAACTCTGTGAATGTACTAAAAATTGCACACTATAGGGCGCCTGGGTGGCTCAGTTGGTTAAGCGACTGCCTTCGGCTCAGGTCATGATCCTGGAGTCCCGGGATCGAGTCCCGCATCGGGCTCCCTGCTCGGCAGGGAGTCTGCTTCTCCCTCTGACCCTCCTCCCTCTCATGCTCTCTGTCTCTCATTCTCTCTGTCTCAAATAAATAAATAAAATCTTTAAAAATTGCACACTATTCACCTATAAATGGGTGAATTATATACTGTGTGACTTATATCACAATAAAGCTGTTACACAAAATGTTATTAGGTCTATTTATAGTGGCTATAATAAATGTTAATTTCTAAACCATTGTCTGGCACACTGAGAGGCATGTTATGTCAGGTACCCTTTTTATTTTGGTCTTCAGTTGGGGAATGGGCCCCGATGGGTCATGTGGAGTTACTGAAGATGTCCACACATTATATGGCACGCCAGTCATAGCGATGACATCACAGTCATATTTAATGACATAAATTGCTTGTGTGTTACTAACAGCAGATGCCACGAAGAACGTAAAGTCAGAAGAGAGAGACCTGCTCTTCCAGCGGCGAGCCAGTCCATGGAGAAGCTTCTACCCCATCCTGCCTTTGCACGCTCCAGCCACCGGAGAAGGAACGCAACCACAGCCATAAACATCCACGCCCCTGCTGCTGAGTGTGTCCACAGCTGCACAGTGGAGCCCCACCCAAGACCTTGACCTTCACTTCTATTTACTCCTCAATGCAACCCTGTTTTTACAGATGCAGAAACTGAGGCTTAGAGAAGAAAGCGTGAGTGTGAACGCTGTGCTTAGGCTCCAGACAAGACCCCGTTGTGTTTACGGAGCTGCTGCCCCCAGACTGGCAGGAAGGCGGGACCCCCCTGGAGCCCATGATGTGCACTTCTGTCACTACCCCAGGTTCAGATCTGGGGTCACGGAGCTTCCCATCTACCTGAAGAGGGAATGTGGCTGGATGCATGAGGCCAACAATGAAAGGTTCGTTTGGCCAAACAACTGACAGAAAAGTCTGGAATCACAGATCTTTATATGCACATATTCCAAATCACCTCACCTGGCCTCACTGTCTCTCCCCAGTTCCTTTCTACTCTCCCTCATGAAGGGCCAAGCGAACAGCACAGCCACTCAGGGGCCTGGGGGACCAGGAAGTTCAGGTTGGAAGCACACCCCCCCAGTACCCGGTCAGGGTCCAGGGCTTGGGCCCTGGGAGCCTGTGAGGGTCTGCGCTCCTCTGGGCAGAACCTGTGTGCTTGATGCGGCCCAACATTAATTGGCAAATAAGAAACACCAGGGCAAAGTTCCTCAAAAAATCATTCCCTGTGATCTAGCAATTCTACTTCTGGGTATATGCACCAAAGAATTGAAATCGGGGTCCTGGAGAGAGATTCGTGCACTCATGTTCATAGCAGCCTTATCATGAGAGCCAAGAGGTGGGAGCAGGCGGGTGTCCACGGGCGGATGAATGGGTCCGCAAAATGTGGTATGGCCGGACGGTGGGATATTATTCAGCCTTAAAAAGGAAGGAAGTTCTGACCTGCTGCACCACGGATGCATCCTGGCGACCTCAGGCTCTGTGAAATACGCCGGGCACAAAGGGCCAACCGACCGAACGACTCCACTCATGTGAGGTATAGAGGGAGTAGTCAATTCAGAGACAGTAGATTAGTGGGGGCCTGGGGCTCAGGGGAGGGGGGCTCGGGGGCTCTTGTTTAATGGGGACAGAGTTTCCATCTTGTAAGATGAGAGTTCTGGAGAGGGATGGTGGTGACGGTTGTTCAACAGTGCCAATGTACGGAATGCCGCCGGACTGCACTCAAAATGGTTGTGACGGTAGATTTTTACGCTATGTTATGTTTTACTGCAATTAACAAATTTTACAACAAAACGAAACACCGTGAGGGGCTGAGAGAGACCTCATGGAAAAAGGAAAAAACTTTTTTTTCCTGTTCTTTTTTTTTTTTTAAAGATTTTATCCATTTATTTGAGAGAGAGAATGAGAGAGAGCGAGCACATGAGAGGGGGGAGGAGCAGAGGGAGAAGCAGGCTCCCAAGGAGCAGGGAGCCCGATGCGGGACTCGATCCCGGGACTCCGGGATCATGACCCGAGCCGAAAGCAGTCGCTTAACCAACTGAGCCACCCAGTCGCCCCTTCCTGTTCTTTTTTTAAAAAAGATTTTATTTATTTGAGAGAGAGAGAGAGAGCGCGCGTGCGAGCACGAGCTGGTGGGGAGAGGGGAGCAGCAGAGAGAGAGGAAGACTCTCCGCTGAGCCAGGACCCCGAGATCACAGCTGAAGGCAGACACTTAACTGACTGAGCCACCCAGGCGCCCCATTTTTCCCCTCTTTGAACAAGGGACCCTGCATTTTCATTTTGTGTAAAGTCCTGAAGGTAATGTAATAATCTGCCCTCATGGAAAATAAAGCCGGCGTTTCCTTCCTTGTCGCTCGTCTGTAATGAAATGCTCACCTCCGGCCAGAGACGCGGGCTGGGGAAGCATATCCGCCTTCACGAGGGACAGCTGAGACGGGGGGCTTCCCTCCCCTCCTCCCTGTCGCACCCACAGCACAGGGGAGCGTGCTCACAATGCCGCCGTGGGCCCTGTCTGGGGTGTGACTGTCACGCCTGGTCCTGAGCCAGGGGTCAAGAAGCGCCGCTCTGGGATCTAGAGAAGACAGAAGCGACAAACCCCGACTTCCTCGGCCAGATGCAGACCCCTCCCTGAGGCCCAGGTGAAGCACCTCCCTCAGCTGTCTTCATCTTGTCTGTGGCCCAGGGTCTGGGGGGCGCCTGGTGCTGGCCGACCGAGTAGCACCGGGGATGCTAACTCTGCTGTGATCGGAGGTGGTCAAGTGGGGAGCTGGCTGGAAGTGGCTGAGGCTCTGTGGCCAACGGGCAGAAGAGTAGCTATTCCGGGCCTCAGGGCCCACGGCAGTCCCTGAGTGTCATGTGGGGACACGGGGCATTTTGGCCTCTGGTCCCCGGCGGGCAGGTATGGTCTGACCTTAGTGAACGGTGGGGGCGGGGTTGGGGGAGGGCTTTGGGCAAGTCACTTTATTTCCGTTTTCCTCCTGCATAAAATGAGGCTCTCCCAGGTCGAATGCAAAGTTCTGAAAATGTTCACACTCGTGGGCTAAAGCACCTGTAACGTGGCCTCCGTGGCTTCTCCAAGTGCTTCTCCCTGAGTGGACTCAGGTCCTTGTTCTCCCTCCTGTGCAGCCCCCTGAGCAGCCGGGCCCCGGGGTGGGGGGTGGGGGTGGATCTCTGGGTGGTCACCCCAGCAGGGAGTGGGATGCAGGCTCGGTGTAGGTGGTCTGGGCGGGGCCCCCAGCCCCGGGTCTGGGCAGAATTAAAGCCCGACGGCCTATCTGATGGAATTACACCGAGGAAAGCAAATTTGTCTTTTAAGAACAAGCGACAGGCTGATGACTGAAGCCCCAAAGAATTCTGTGGTTGAACCTTTTTTGTTGTTGTTGTTTGTTTTCTAGCACAATCTGTCTCTGTTTCTGAGCCGAGTGCTGTGCTCCCCACGACAAAGGCCTCTTTCTTACGACAGTTTAATAGCTCCAATACGGGGGACAGCCCTGACTCTCCCATGGGCCCATGTCTGAAGGCAGCTGCTGAGCAAAGAAGAAAGCCACCGCTTTCCTCCAGTTTGGTCCAAACTGAACCAAGAGAGACTTAAGGAATCCAACAAAACAGAACCATAACCTCCTCCTGAAATTAAAAAAAATATATATATATGAAAGCTCCCCAGGGGGTGAGGGAAACAAACATGCATCCGGATAGAGAGCAATGTGGATCAGAAGCGGCGTGCCGGGCTCCGCGTCCTCCGTGGGTGGAGCCGAAGAAAACCAAGTGGGTCTGAGGATGGAGAGGATGCAGATGGGGAGGGCGGAGTCCCGACGTGTGAGTTGCCTGTGGTCGCCGGAGCCCAGTGCCACTAACAGGGTGGCTTCGGACCACAGAGATTTATTCTCACGGCTCAGGAGGCCACACGTCCAGAGTCGAGGGGTCAGCAGGGCTACGCTCCCTCCCACACCACTGGGGAAGGATGCTCCCTTGGCTCTCCCAGCTCCTGGCGGCTCTTGCCATTCCTTAGCATTTCTTGGCTTGTAGCTACTTCACTCATCACTCCAACCTCTGCCTCTGCCTTCATGGGGCCGGAGTCTTCCCTCTCTGTGTTGTCATGGGGCACTCTGCTCCATGTGTGTGTGTCTTTTCTCTTCATCTTGTAGAGACACTGGTCATACTGGATTTAGGACCCACCCCAATCCAGCAGGACCTGATCTTAACTAATTACACCTGGAAAGACCCTATTGCCCAGTAAGATGGCATTCACAGGTGTGGGAGGCTCGGACTTTAACACACCTTTCGGGGGGGCACACAATTCGACCACAACACCATCGCTCAAAAACCCCGGGGCTTCTTTCCAAGCAGCCTGTCACCTCCTTTTGTTCTGGAACCCACAGGACAGGTAACTTGCTCTATCTTCCCAGTGACGTAGCCCAACCATCCATGCTTTCCAGGAGGTGAGGTGGGGAAGTGGATCATGACATCATGGCCACCCAGAGGATTTCTGTCCTCTCTCTTCGGAGCTTTCTCCTCTCCCCAGTTCCTTCCCTCAGCATCTGGCTGCACGGAGACACCAGGCAAGGGGTAAGGGTTCTTACTGCAGGGACGGGCAGCATGACCTTTGACATAAACACTTGCTGCCCGTGGGACTGTCTAGAAAGTCTGTCCCTCACTGCGGAGAGTTTATATGCGCCTCTAATTCCCAACATGCCCAATGAGACAGGATGTTAGAGAGGCGTATGACAATGGAATCATACCTCCTACCGCCAACTGGAGGGCCTCTGCATAGGGCGTTAGACGCTTTTTTTTACAACTAAGCAGAAACTCTTTTCTGCACCACTCTGGGGGGTCAGTTTTGAAGTCTCTGTGGTCACGGCAGGTAGGTGACTTGGGGGGCAGTGATTTAAGGCACAGGCACCAGAGCCAGACTGCCGGGGTGCAAATCCGACCTCTGCCCTTTCCTCGTGTGTTTCCGGGCGCGTTCTGCATCTGTAAGATGAGGATGGCCATTTCACAGGGGCCTCAAGCAGTGGCTGATACACAAGTCGAGGAGCACGGGGTCTGCACACGGAAAGCACTCCGTCAGTGTCAGCTCTCATGACTGTCCCGGGGCTGCCAGAGGCAGGGAGTGGGGTGGTGGCTAAACATGGGCTTCTGCATTGGCCGGACCTCCGTTAAACCCTAAGTCTCGGGGTGCCTGGGTGGCTCAGTCGTTAAGCGTCTGCCTTCAGCTCAGGTCAGGATCCCAGGGTCCTGGGATCGAGTCCCACATCGGGCTCCCTGCTCAGCAGGAAGCCTGCTTCTCCCTCTCCCACTCCCCCTGCTTGTGTTCCCTCTCTCACTGTCTCTCTCTCTGTGAAATAAATAAATAAAATCTTTAAAAAAAAAAAAAACCCTAAGTCTTCCACTTGCCATGAGCCTGACCTCACACAAAGTTCCCAGGCTCTGCGTCCTCGTCTCCATCCTGGGATGGCAGCGAGGACTACGACAGCCGACCCTAAGAGGGTCACAAGGGCAAACGAACCGAAATGAAGACCACCACCCCAACCAAGCCATGCCTAGAGCTCCCTTAGCGTCTGCTCTGGAAGATGCTGCGGATCTCCACCTCTCCTTGCTTTGGGAGGCCGGACGGGGGCAGTGATGGGCCCCTCCAAACGCACCCATGCAGGCGACGCCCTCTGTCTGGGAGCAGCCACTTCTCCCTGTCGGCCACACAAGGGGCCGTTTACACTGTGGCCCCCTCCTCCCCCACCACTGCCTCCAGCCACCCCCACCCAAGTCCCTGGCGACAGGGTTGGACATCTTGGCACGGGGGACCGATCTCCACACAACGTGTGCTCTGTTTAGCCTGCGGCGGGCTTGGGGGGAGGCACGGACCCTACAAAGCTCTTTGAGAACAGCAGTGTGGTTTCTTTGTGGCTTTCCCAGGCGCTGGAGACGACACAGACTTTTCTCTCCTCCGTTCCCATTGCCGCCCTGTCCATCCCCCTGCACAGCTTGGGACAAGCCACTCGAGGTCTAGAAGGAGTCCAGGGAATTGTGGGGCAACGGGGAAGTGGCTCATGCCCTTGGCAGGGGCTGTCCATTACGAAACCATCTACAGAATTCCGGGCAGGCTGTCAACCACCACACCCCCACCCCCACCATCCCGGGTGCAGAGCCGACCATGCACAGCCCGGACCTGGGTCCCGTGCAGAGAACAGAAGAGGTGGCTCAGGCTCCATTCCAGGCAAGGGTGCAGGACAGAGAAAAGCATATGCTGCACAATAAAGGCTGAGCAGTCCCAGAGCAAGGGACAGTGAGCATGAAGACTCCATGCTGAGACATGACCGGAAAATCAGCCTGGGAGGGCCAAGGGGAAGTCAGGGAAAGGATGCTAGGCAGGGGGCCCAAGGCACTGGTCAACAGAAGCAATGTCAGGGCCAGCCACACACACCGAGAGACCCCCACATTCCTGGCCTGGGGCGTCCAGGCCTGTGTGGTCCCATGTAGACTGTGGAAGCCACTTCCAAACCAGTTCTCCTTCTGGGAGGCAGGGGGCTGGGAGCTCTTGTCCTGGACCATGGGCTGGGACAGGAATGGGCTGGGCATCTATCTGGAGTGTCTGCAGTGGGCAGGCCAAAGACACTGTTATCGATACTACTACTACTATGACTATTGATGATTATTAATATTGTGGGAATTTGTAGATTAGGAAATGGAGGCACAGAACAAAAACCAACCCGTTCAGGCTGTACAGCAAGTGGCAGAGCCAGGATTTGAACCTGGGTGGTCTAGCTCCGGGATCCATGCTCTTAAATATTCCACGTGTTCTTGAGGTGCGCTAGACTGGGGAGGGGCGGGGGCTGCACCAGCCACACCCCGCCCCCATGCCTTCTCACAGGCCTGTCTCACCGTGCCCTGCGCATGCGAGCAGCTGTTGGTGGGAGGCGCTCTATCTCCCTCCCCGTGAGTGACACCTGCTATCTTGGTGGCCTTGGAAGCAGGTGCACAAGGGTCTGGGGTTGACTGTGTCACTGTTCCTTGCCTTCTCTCAGATCATATCCCAAACCCACATCGGGCAAACAGGCACTCCACTCCGTGTGTGTCTGTATCAGGATTTACACCCTGTAATTCAGATGTACGTTAAAAATTAATCTTTTTTCCTATGATATTATCCTGTCCTGGAGAACCTCGTTTCCACACAGTAGCAGAAACAGAATTAGTCAATTAAAAGGAATTCAGTGCCTTCCGGTATCAGGTCCTTCTCCAAGAGAAGGTGTTCTCTTTCCGGGTAATGCCAGGAATTCAAGTGTCAAGATCCCTGGTAAGACCTCCCTCTGTCACCCTGCTTCCTCTCCGGGATGGCTTCTGTATACAGGGGAAGATGATAGGGCAGGAGGACGCAAAGGAACATATTTGCAAATACATCATCCCGATTTAGAGAAACTGATTTTCAACACAGTTTACAACACTGTAAGATTTTCAGCAGAGCTTGATACACAGTAGAATAGAGTGGATGGCCAAGATGCCCTTGTTACATTGTCCAGTGGGGCTCAACCTCACTAATCTGTATGAAGAACATAATTACAAGCTTTTCATGTTATACGTTGCTCTGAATTTGAATGGAGAGAGAGAGAGAGAGCGGGAAAGATGAAGACAAGTAAATCCCTATCTGGAAGGTAGAAAGGACTTTGTTTTTTCCCGAGTATATGAACTAATTTCTTTGGTGATGAGTACATTTTGAACAGAGAGATCCCTCATAAAAGAACTGATGAATGGTGAGAGCCTGTGATAGTGACTTTCTTTCAATGTCTTTACTTTGCAAAACATAGAAGGTGGCAGTTCTATGTCCGTCTTCACATACACAGGGGATGTTTTTATGTCCCACAAAAGCCCAACAGTGCCAGGACCCCAGATACACCCCACCCCTCTTCATGCAATGCCCATGGAAACTGCGGTGTAAGCAGTAAGAGTCAAGGACACGGTCGGATTGCCAGGGGCTTGCTCACCCGAGTCCCACCTGCTTGACCCAGAGGTACCACCGGAAGGACAGTGTGCTGAAATGAGCACATTTCCTAGTAATCCTCGCAGGCATTTTTCTATCTCTGTAGAACTGTGTGTGTGGAGGGATGGATGTGTGAGTAGGCACACACAGCCGTTGGAGATTCACATCAGAGAATGTCCCCATCCTTTAAGGGAAACCATCTTTCAGAGTGAGATATGGCTCCCCAATCTCGTACCAGCAGGAGGGGATGAATGACCGTTGCTGGGCTTCCTGGCGAGGTCACTCCAACACAGCGGATGGTCACCTTAGACGCGCAGCGAGCAGAGGTGTGAAGAGTCCTGACTTCCAGAACACCCCCAAACCAATCGGATTTCTCTTTGTCTCTTTCCTGGGGGGGGGGTGCTCCTTTGTTAAAATGATGTTATTTGTCACAGCTGTCCTGGGAAGTGTGGAAAGTCTGCCAGATACGTGGGTGAAGCCAGACTAAGATGAAACAGTTTCTCACGGACAATCTCAGGTGACAGGTAAGTGATCAGCAGACTTTCATTCATCCGTGCGTGCATCTCTCCATCCAGCCAATGCCAGGATGTAAGGGCAGCAGGCCCCCCGAGGGGCATGTTTCCCAAATGAATGGCTGTGAAGGTCCGGATTCTCTGCCTCATCAGCTGGAGAGTTCCCGGGTCTCCAGGTAACAATGACATCCATTTGTCTGCACAGACCGGGGGACATGGAGGGCAAAGTGTCAGAGAGGACGCCCCTACCCCCCCGAGAGGATAACCTGGTCAAAGAAAAACCTTGGCAGGACTAGGGGACAAAACACAGCTGGAGGTGCCTTACTGTCAGGATGTGGTTACTTTTTTCATTGCTTTCTGTCCCACCTGCTCTTGCAGGAAGCATAAAAACCCACGGGAAGGAAGAAGGGGCTGGGAAAAAGAGTGGCAGAGGGCAGTAAGAACGCTGGGGTTTGGACAAGGACCCTGAAGACGGAGCCGAGACATTTCCTTTCTGGCCCTCACTTCCCAGCCCCCATCCCTTCTGGCTCCTGGTGGTCAAGCCTCCTGGAGCAATGCGCCTGCAGACTGTTCTCCGGAGGCAGGTTCCATCCAGAGCCCCCAGGTGTTCCAAGGATGGGAGGGGCACTTCCTGAGGTGCGATGGGGACAAGGGGGAAAAAAATGTCAAAAAAAAAAAAAAAAAAAAAAACCAACCCCACACAAAACCCTGTGGGGAGCGCTCAGGAATAGCGCTGCGGAGTGAAGGGCTCTGCAATGTCCCGAGGAACTGCTCAGTCCGCGTCTGGCTCCACCCAGGTGTGTGGCGGGCTTTTAGGCTCATCCTTGTTACGTTCACGACTAATATAATAACTTTTATAACTTTTTTTAAAAAAGTCATTAGAAAAATAAATGCGTTACCCCTAAAATGTCCTAAAGAAAACACTAACAGATTTTGGGGTGTTCTGCAGTTAGATCAGTTCGCACCACCGTTTTCCTCCAGGTGCCACAGTCACGGGCAGAGGGGCTTCCTGCTCTTTCCCTGTCGTTCCGTATTCCCCTCCTTCCTGGCGGGTGGGTGGGGGGGAGCCACACCAAAGCCTTGGTGTCAGGCTGAGGCGGGACAGTAAGACGGCGGGGGAAGAGCCCTCGGTGCTGAACTGAATGAACTATCAGATGGAATACAAAGATGCTATGAAAATGCACACCAGATTTTTATAAACTTGTATATAGTACATGGTCTTCAGCTTTTGTAGGTATGACTTCTGCGGAGGACGCCTGCTGCTTCTGACATCAACGTGTCTCCACTGCTTCCTGCCCCCTCTGTCCCTCCGTCATTGTTTGTACATCACCTGGTGACAATGATGTCAAACCACAGCATGGTGGCGCTCTGTGCCACCTGCCTGCTGCTTGCAAACTCCCCGGTCTCTTCAGCATTCAGGGTAAAGTGATCACTGTGCGGGAGGGCTGGAAAGAACAATTTCAGAGACAGCACTGCCAATAGATAACTCTAGAATTCCAGGCAAGGTAGCCTGTTCCCATGCTGGGGTTCCGCTTCTCAGGCTGAAGACCACTCTCCAGAGAGACCGGGCTGGGCTCTGGCTTCCCCTCGGGGGAATGGTAAGACCCAACTCCATGGGTGGGTGGGGAGGTCAAGACCAGCAGCCTGAGGAAGGACAGTCTCCTGAGAACTTTCTGGAAGTCTGGGAGCTGGTCCTGCCACAGAGAGGTCAAGGGGCCTCGTAAGAGCAGCTTGACCTGTGGAGGCGGTTACAGGAGGTGTGAGTGAACTATGATGGAGAAGTTTACACTTCAGTTCTCCAAGACCCCTCCCCACCACAACAGTGACGCCTGCTCTTGACCTGCCCTACATTTAATTTGCAAACCTGTTTTCAAGAATTTACTGGAACCGAAGTAGGGGAACTAGTTGGACAGATAGAAGCACGTAAGTAATAGGTGACTTCCAAATACAGACCTACTCACCAACTGGAGACTGTTGACTAATGACCAGGAAAATGTGTCTCCTGCCATTTTTGTTTCTAAACAAATGGCTACTTAGTTGACCAATGACTGCTGTCTTAAGTGATCATTAATATACCAACGTATGTATTGGTTTTCAAGCCGGGGAAAGCATATATCTGACTTACGACTTACTCCTTGATCTGGGAGGCAAACATATACTTTAAAATTTTATTTTGATGTCCCCGCTGCCCCCCGTAACTTAATGACCTCATCTTTGGTCGGAAGGCAGGCTAATCGACCTGGCATCCCTTCCCAAGCATCTGGGTGTGGGTTAGCCTTAGGTGGTTGGGGCACACGTCCAGGCGCACCTTGGGGATGTGGCTTGTGGATCATCCATGGCATACTATGAATCTGCAGCCAGCCAGCCTCCTCGGCTCCACGAAGCCTGTTGCACCTGCTGGTCGGGGTGTGTTCAAAGATGACAGACACCTCCCAACGGGTGTGCTGAGTCAAAGCCTACATAGGAATTGGTATGTGAAGCAAAATGCTTATGCGTAAGCAGCTTCGCTCTCCCTGCTGGTTTGAATTATACCTGCCACAGAGTTGAGTGAGAGCGGAGGGCATGTTTCCTCTCTGGGGAACACGTTCTTTGGAGGTAATGCCACTTCAGAAAGGAAAACTGTTTAAGCAGCAAACACCCCAAGGACATGTGGTCTGAAGAATTTGTTTGTGGTGAAACCAGAAGAAATTGCTATGGGGCCAGATCAGAAAGAAGAAAGCCGTGTTTCCCTTGAGCTATGGGCTGCCCTTTGAGGCCTGAGATTCTTTGTAATTCAGGGGGACGCTGAATTCCAGATGAAGAGCACCAGGCAAGCTGTCCAGTGAGGAAGGAAAGGTGGAGGGAGCTCAGGAGGGCCTTGGGGAGGGCACCATAAAGGTGAAGTGACAGCGTCTGAACACTAGGTGGCAGAAGCCAAACACAAATCATACGCCTGCGGTCTGCCCGAGTCCAGGTCAGAATTGAAGCTGGTGCCTTCTAGGGAGTATTTCTTTGTACCTTTCTCTTCTTTCCTGGTGGCTGCGATACCATGTGGGTGGGAAGAGAACCTCCTGCTTCCAGATGCATTATACACAGGGCACAAGAAAGAGGTTGTACAAAAGTTAGCGGGCATGCATCAGAGCGTCTGATGACAGATCTGGACTAAAATTATGGTCTTCCACAAGATTAGGGGTCTACAGACTGTCTGCAACGGGCCAGATAATAAATATTCTCAGCCTCAGCCTCGAGATTCTGTGGCAATTACCCAACTCAACCAACACAGCACAGAAGGAGCGACAGATGATAGGTAAAACACAAGGGTGTTGGCTGTGTTCTAAGAAAATGCCATTTCCAGAACCGGGTGTTGGGCCAGACCTGGCCCATAGGCTGCAGTTTGCTGACCCCCTGCACGAAATGTACAGCAGCGAGCTTGACCCATGCGTAGCCCAGGCACATGCCAGCTACCTTCGTTCCCAAGTCCATGCAAATGCGTACTGCCTCCCTGGGGACCCTTCCACAGCGCCACGTGATTACCTATATCTCCCTGTTGCCTGGACCTGATTCTCCCTTCTCCCTTCCACACGACAACAAAATCAGCCGACAGCTGCCGTCGGGCGGTTCTGCACTGAAAACCTCTTCCTCCCACTGGTCCCTCTTCATTCCCACACCGTCACCGCCTCCCTCGTCGTCCTGGGAGCTATGAAGGCGCAAAGCTGTGGGTAGTCAATACCGATCTGTTCGAGGGCTGAATTCTTCACACTGGTCAGTCTACCCCTTCCCCCCAAAATTGTCCCATCAGAGCCAGATCGCTGTTCAAATCACCTCTTGGGTTTTGTCATGTCCCTGCATCAGAATGCACCCTAGCTGCCAACCTCTTGCTCAATGATGGGCTTCCTCAGCTGTCAGGCTTGTCTTCTAGGAAGCACCATGTGAACTCCATCCTCACCTGGCCCTAAAAACGCCTTGGGGACCAATGTGGGTACTTGTTCACAGTGTCCCCTGTCTCTGTCATCTCCACCTCTCCGGGATGCCTGTCCCCACACTCCTGATGAAGTACCCCGCGTTCTCGGAAGCGCCCCCGACGGGAGGGAAGAGACACACATTGGGTTTGTATCCCTCCCTCGGCGCTCACGCTCCGCTAATCTTATGGCCCGCTCACCGACTATTTTGGCTATCTTTTCTGTGATTTTCAGTTATGTCGCATTGAGGTCAGACCGTGGTCTGAACAGTATCGATTTGGGGGCACTCTGACCTCTGCGGCAGAGCTCTCGCCTCAATTTTGGGAAACACGCCCATGTGTGCTTAAAGAGAATGGAAGTTTTCTAATTGCTAGTCTGGGGCCCTGCATCCGTCCGTGATGGACATGGTGCTAACTTTTCATCTGTTTTCTCAGTGCCGGAGAGGGGGATCATAACCACTCACCGGGACGGCAGTTTTGTCTTTTTTTTTTTTTTTTCCTTGCAATTCTGACCATTGTTCTTAACCAGTTTGAGACTTACTATTGCTAGGTGCACACAGATGCACAGGGGTTACAGCCTCCTGGGGCGCGGTTTCTCTTCTTGGGAAGTACTGGCCTTTATTCTTTATGAGGCTTTCTGCCTCAAAGTCTGTTTTGTCTGATTCTAAAACTGCCATTCCTGCTTTCTTTTGGTCAGCGTGTACCTTGTATCTTTTCTCGTGCCTTTATTTTCAACCTCCCCGTGTCATGTGTGAAGCGAGCCGCCTCTGTATCACAGGGGGCTGGAATTTTATCAAGCAAAACCTGTCTCTTTGACGAGATGTGTTTAATCATCTGATGACTTAGCTCTTGTAGCCCACCCTCCGGCATTATTCGCCTGTCGCTTTCTTTCTCCTTCTCCCTCGTTCCCTTTCGACGACCGCCCGCTGGTCCCCATCCTCCCATGGAAACTCATTTGTACTGTGAGCGAAGGGCCGAGAAAGCTCACAAGCCTGGGGGCTGTTGTGTGGTTTCCCCCACTCAAGGGTAAGATCACAGGCATTTGTTAAGGAGAAACCCAAATCATGAACTAGATATGGATTTCTGGGTGGGGAAAATGGGCTGAAGGGTGGGGTCTGCTTGAGGGAGACCCTCTGGACATAGCAGTGATGGTGCCAGAGCTCTCACATCTCTGCCCCCCAGGCTGTGGCTGGGGGTGGGTGCAGTGCGGGGGCATGAGAATCGCCCCCGCCCCCCGCCTCCCGCCCAGCAGTTCATTCAGCAGGGGTTTTGTGAGGCTGAAAATCCTGAGGCCTGCAGCCCCAGCTCACTCCCAGTGGGATGGGGAGGGTCCTGTGGAGGGTTTATATAACTCCGAGACAGCCTGCTTCGTCAAAGGGAAGGGAGGAGCTGGGTTGGAAAGGTTTTTGCTCTACTTTCTTCAGAAATATTTATCAAGATGAGCAGAAAGTACAAGTGATAGAAGAGAGGGCCATCCGAGTTGACATCTCGATGTCCCAGGAGACACGGCGCCACCGGACTGAAGGCCTGGCCTGTGAGCGCAGGGACGGGGGCCAGGGCTGTCACCTGCGGGCCACAGACCTACTGCAACGTGCGTGGTGCCTGTGCCCTGGGAGGACCTGGCCTGTGGATGCTTCCAGGGCCAGCCCCTCGGGGCCGCTGTGCCTCCCTAGCTCCCACTGACTCGGAAGTTTCTCGTGGTCTAGGCAAGGCCAAGATCAACACGGCTGTGCGGGGGACACAGAGCCACACTCCCCGGCGCCCCCAATCCCCCCCACCCCATGTAAGAAGAGCAGTCTGCAGGGCATTATCATTCACCGTTCACCCTTGATTTTGGTGACATTTCTCACATTATACAGTTCTCCCCACCGCCCCCCCCCCCCCATCTACCTCTCATTTGGTTTTCACAATGGACATCATGTTAACAGATGACGCTGGAGTGACTTGTGGGCCTGGCAGGTGGGAATGAGAAGCTGAGAACAGGGAAAATTTCGACTTGGAACATGCCAGCCCACACACACATCTGGGGCCTCAAGGAGCACACATGTCCCCTAACACGCAGCATTAGAATTTAAAGACGGGCAGAGGCTACACCTAACACCCAGGGACCCCATGTCAGCCAAGGGATAGCTAGATGGAGGTGATGGGGCATAAAGAGGCCTCACGCAGGTTCGGCCGCCGGGAAGCACAGGAAAGGGGCTCTGGGAGAAGCGAGTTCCTGACAAGCATGCGGGATAGACACAGGGTTGATCGCCGAAGGAGACGGGACCATTGCCTCATGGGAGGGAAAGAAAAGGTCGATTTTGAGATTGCCTCAATCAGAAGGCAGTGAAATGAGCTAGATGCAGGGGTCAGAAACCAGTGGCCCCTGGGCCATCTCTGTAATGTGAGTTTCATTTTTAAAATAATTGTGCCCTTCGATAGTGCATGCACTGCCTAGCTGAGATTCACCTCCATCCTTACCATTCCCAATGGTCTCTACCCAATGACTGTGTCCACGTGTTTTCTTGCCCCTTAGTCTCCTGAAGTCACCTGACTTTGCCAGCCTTGGATGGAAGGCTCCTCCCTGCTCTCCTCCAGCCTGGAGGCTGTAGTATTCATGGTTTTGTAGGCATGGGGGACCGTGTAGAGCCCATCTCCATGATGGCCAAAGGATAAGCCCTTTTGTGGTCCCAAGGCTGTAGCCTCATCTAGGCGCTTTGTAATGCCAGGGAGGTAGAAGGGAAGAAGAATTTATAAGGTATGGTGATTATCTATGGAAGACTGCCTATGGAAATAAGGAGTGGGGGATAGCAGTGAGTTTGGTTTGGTCAGCTGGGGGCAAGGCGGTGCTGGGGAAGCCTGCAGGAGGGGCAGGTTTTGCCAGGTGGCAGATGGGGAGGGGGGAGGCAATCAGCTGAATGTGGGGATCCCAAGAAACATCTAAGTGGAGATGTCTGCAAGACAGCTGGACCTGGAGGACTAAGCTCCGGCAAACAATCAAGGCTGAAGACCAACGCTGGCATCCCCAGAAAACAGATGGAAAATAAAGTCTTGGAAATGGAGAAGGTTCTCCAAGGGGACTGCACTAAGTGGGGAGAAAGGGAGCCCCAGTGATGGCTCCTGGGCAACATTGACATTTCCAAAGGGGCCACAGGGTGAGAAGCCCGCAGGAGAACCTGCAGAGGAACAGACACTAAGGGGGGACAGGAGGGGAGTGCAGTGTCCAGAAAGAGGGGGGGGGGGCTTTGAAAGGAGGGAGCAGGTGAGAGCATCAGAGCTGCTCTGTTTTTTTTGTTTGTTTTGTTTTTGGTGTTTAGTCTTTATACATTTAAAGGATTTGGGGGATGCAGGTGATTATATCCATATGGGTGTTTTCAAAGTGGTTACCCATTAGATAGCTTATCTGACAAATGGCGTACACCTGCTTCTTTGATGGAGTTCCTCTCTCAGGTAAGCCTCACCTGACCTTGCCCCCACTTCCACCAGTGGGGCTGGGGGTGCCCGTCCAGGTAACAAGCATTTCCAGAGCACCGCTGGGTGCCGCGCCATGCTCTAGGGTCCTGGCTTACCTGGCACTCTCGAAGGTGGCTGATGCCGTCTTTCCTACAGCCCCAAACCCAACGCCGACAGCAAGACCCTCTGAAACAGACATAGAAAAAAAACCATGAGGGGTTAGGAGCAATTTTCAAATAAGGTTCATCGCCATCACTGTGTCAGGTGAGACTGCATGAGGCTGCCAGTAACAGAAAATCCACATAACAGGAGTTTCAACCAGGGGGTTGGCCAACAATGGTCTGGGGGCCAAACCTAGCCCACTGCCTATTTTTGTTCTTAATAAGCTAAGAACGATTTTTACATTTTTAAATAATTGGAAAAAAATCAAAGAAAGAGTAGTATTTCATGACACATGACAATTATATAATTTTAGTGTTCACAAAGCTTCATTGGCACACTGCCATGCTTATCGGTTGACAAGTTGTCTACGGCTGGTTTTGCGCGACATCAGCAGAGATGAGTAGTTGTGACAGAGACCGTATATTTAAAGACCTAAAATATTTACTGTCTGGCCCTTTACAGAAAGAGCTTGATGACTAACTCCTGAGCTAAACACATAGGGTTTTATTAGCTCAAGCGACAAGATATCCAAGGTTGATGTGGTAGCCCAATGATGTCTTCCCAGACGTTTGAGGAGCCATCTTGAAATGGTAGACTGTCCCAGTCTACTCTGGGAAGGTGTGGCTATAGTCTAGCTTAAGCTTGAGGATGTACAAGATGATTCCCCAAGTCCTTTCCAGAGGGACTAGTGAGCCGGCCAAGTTTACCAAACCCTGACTTTGATCACATGTGGAGGACAATGCTGGTCTATGAGTATCTGATAGAGAGGGAAAGATTATGGAAAAATGGAACTGTCCCAGTGGCCTGGGATCAGTAGGCTAGTCCCATAATGTTAAAACACTTTCGGGGCACCTGGGTGGCTCAGTCGTTAAGCGTCTGCCTTTGGCTCAGGTCATGTTCCCAGGGTCCTGGGACAGAGGCCTGCATCGGGCTCCCTGCTCAGCGGGAAGCCTGCTTCTCCCTCTCCCACTCCCCCTGCTTGTGTTCCCTCTCTCACTGTGTCTCTCTCTGTCAAATAAATAAAATCTTTAAAAACAACAACAACAAAACACTTTCTGATATCTGTGGGAGAATTTAAAGACCCCTTCTGAATCAAGGCCAGAAAGAGGACTACCAATATTGGTCAGAATCAAGACCAAGGGCTTTTGGGGCCAGGAGGAACTTTTGTGTTGTAAAGAGAGAAGAAGGGAAAAATCTACTGAGTGAGAAGGGCTTGTTTTCTTTTGGGATTCACTGTCTCTCTGAAATGCCTCTTTTTGTCCTTTGTGTCCTGTTTAGTTGGGGTGGGCCAAGGATGCTGGGCTTGCAATGATGACTCTAGGAGACACCTGGAGACCAAAGGATTGCTCAGACTTGTCCCGGGTTAAGGCGTAAGAGCTCACCTATAATCCAGTCTGGTTCACCAAGAAACCACAGTGGGGTTTGGAGTCCAAAGACCCTGCTAAGGCATAAAGGGCTCTTTGTTTGCCTCAGTTTACCCTCTGTGCTTCAGTCTCCTGTGGGGACCTTATCAGGTGGCTATAGCCACTGGAGGCTGCTGATTGAGAATTTGGGATTCTGATGCTCCATCAAATATCTTCCCATATTTCTCATAATGACCAATGATGGGATATAGAATCCTAGGACTGTAGAGGTGCAGGAAACCCCACAGATCATGTGGCATGACTCTTGGGCCACTGTCAGACTCAGAATTTAGGGGTTTGGGGGGGTGTCTTTCCAAAACCAGGCAGCATCCTCCCAGCACGTGTGGCTCACCCCGTAGCCGACTGCTGAGAAGCCCGAGACGGTGCCTCTAACGAGCTCCGGGGCTGAGGTGGCCGGCCAAGTCAGGGCTGCCAGAGCAACCAGACGTTTCATATCAAGCTTTTTAAAAATGGATTTATGTTTGCTCAATTTTTAAGGCTCCTGATGTAAATTCTTCACAAAGGCTGAGGCTTCATTCAGCAAGTCCTTCCTCTGAGATGACTCTGATTCTAAATTAGGCCTTGTATTCAAGATCTTAGCGTCTTTGTGGTCTTTCTTTTGGAAATGGGGGCCGGTGGCCACCTGTGGGCCACACGCCAGGCTAGAAGCATGAAGTAAAGGTGGGGATCGTCACCTCTGCTCCCACAGCAGAGAGGAAAGGGGAGGGGGAGCTGGTCTGAGAGCCCAGGCGGGCTCTGGTTCTGAGGTCCAGGCTCTGCTCTCCCTGGCCGTGCGTTCTTTTCCGTCTCTTTCAGAAAAGTCCTCTGAGGTTGGAGGAAGCCACAGCTCCAGGGAGGGCTCTGGACGCATGTTCACCATCTCCAGATTTGCCTGATGCATCTGACAAGCTTCCCAAAGGAGGAGTGTCCTAGGGGAAGGGCTGGATTTCAGGGCGGGCTGCGATGGATATGTCTGGGAGTTCCAGGCATCCTTTCCAGCAGGATGGAGGAAGCCTTTTTTATGCATCTTCTGAGTCTCAGAAAGTTGGAGGACATCTGAGATGCCTCCACCTGGCCAGTCTCCTACCATCAGAGTCCAGTGTTTACAAGGCTGCTGTTCTCAACTTTGTTTTGTACCAACACAGGCCCTCAACCCTCTCTCAGAGGTAACTGTGGGTCTCCAAGGCAAAGAGCTTCACCAGGGACCCCTGGCCCACCGGGGAGAGGTGCCAAAAGCTAGGGAGGGACTAAGGGGTGTTTTACGACGCCAGAGGGGCATATCCCTTCCTCTGAAAAAAATTTCCTTTTCTAAACTATAAACAACAGTTGGTCTGCTCTTTTGTTAAAGATTTTGCTCTAATTAGTCATTTTAATGTAAATGATAGTGCAGCCCAGAGCCACAGGACCTATATTAATTAGCAAACTAAGCCCTTCTTGTTATTTGGCAAAAGTCCCAGCACTCTGACTTATATAAATGCCCTCAGTGGCTCTGGGAGGTTGGGCAGGGGAGTACCCAGTTAAGGCAGGAGAAAAAGCATCTGCTCAAAGAGACACAAGCCTCAAGAAGCAGAGCCAGGCCTCGAATCTCAGTCCCCCACTCTCCCCCGGCCCCACCCATTTGCCAACCTGGCTTGTGGCTTTCTCCCAGGCATGGGTGGCAAGAGCTGGTATCTGAATCTGTACCCCAAAGAGGTTTGGAGCAAAGTGAATGCATAGTGCCTCTGCCCCCACCCTGTACCTGGGCCAACAGTGAGGGAACCTGCTCTGATGAATTGTAAAATGAGCCCCTCCCTCCTCTGGGGGAGCCCAGCTTCCAAAGCACAAGTTGCCTGTGGGAGGGGGCCAAAGCCTTTCCCCCGCTCCCTGCCAGAAGGAGAGAACCTTGGGGAAAAGGAATGCAGTGGCTACCTTGTCTGAAGGTAGGATAATACCCGGGAGAGAAACTAATGAGAGACGAAGACAAATTACCCACGCGGAAAGAACATAAATAAGAGAATTAAGGCAGATACTTAAGATCAACAGATGGTAGAAAGAACCCGCTGGGTGGAAAAGGAGCAGAGGAAAACATTGCCGACTGGAGCTCACACCCCAGGTGTTCCACCCAAAGTGCAAATTAGGAAGGTAATTAAGACAAGAAACCAAAGTGACTGGAATATTATCAGTAAGCCATTGCCTCTTTTCACAGCTACTGCTATTAACTCGGGTGCAAAGAGAGAGAAGATAAACGCCAGGCCTGTAGATGGGCGTCTGGCAGAGGCAGGGTGAGGCAGAGTCCTGAGGACCAGCCCGAGAACAGGCTCTCAGGCCCAGCCCACCTGCTCCACTCTTGTGCGGGGGTGTCTGCCTCCTCAGCTCCCCGTCCTCCTGAATCTCCATCCCTCCTTGTCACCCACTGCGGAAGAGAACAAAGAGGCTATGGCTCAAGTCCTGGCATATTGTTCAAGGTTCTTAGAATAATGAAAGGATAACAATGCTTTGCATACAGGATGATGTGCTCAGCGCAGCTTTCTCACTGTTGACTTTGTGTTTTAAGAGGCTGGTCTGTGCATCGCCAGATGTGAGCACCACCCCCGGCCTCTGCCCACTAGATGCTGGCAACGCCCCCTCCCCGCGAGTTGTGCTAATCAAAAATGTCTCCAGGCACTGCCTAGTGTCCCCGGGGGAAAAATCGTACCCTGTTGAGAACCACTGGCCTCCCATTGAGAGGTACTTTTCCTCAGTTTTAAACTATTCTAGAACACTCTAAGAGTTTAAGTAGGTGGTAGGAAAGTGAACAGTTAAAAACGAGTGTCTTGGTCCGTTTGGGCGGCTATCACAAAATACCGTAAGCGGGGCAGCTGATAAGTCACATGGATCTATTTCTCATGGTTCTGGAGGCTGGGAAGCGCGAGACCAGGATGCTGGCAGACTTGGCCTTCCTGGTTCATAGATGTGTCCTCACATGGTCAAAGGGACAGGGACCTTTCTTGAGCCTCTGCAATAAGACACTCATCTCTGAGCTCCACCCTGGTGACCTAAGCACCTCCTGATACCATCACGTTGCGGGTTAGGATTTCCATGTATGAATTTTGGGGGGATACAAACATTCAGACCACAGTAACCAATATTTTCTTTTTCCATCAAGGGCTAGCCATTCCTTCGCTTTTAAGGTCATGGCGTGGGGTGGGAGGAGGGAGGGTTTAAATTCACAGGTCTTCTGCAGGAGACCTTGCAAGCCTCCGAAACAGTGACATCTGTGACATTTCAGCGTTGCCTGACATTCACGGCTGGCAGATCTCGTGGGGGATGGGAGGGAATGCCAGGATGGGGTACAGAGAAATGCGATGTCTGGTTCAGCAGAGCTGCTGTGGGGACACCCTTCCCCTCCTGCCTGGTTATGCTCCTCCGCACGTGGGCACAGCTGTAGCGTGGCCTCGGAGAGAGAGGCGTCTGAAATACAACCCAGGTGTCCGGGGCGCTCCGGCCAGGGCTGAAGACGGTGGGCGTCTCATTTCCCTGCTCTGGGCTCTGCGACGGTCTCACCGCAGCTCCTGATCACATGCCTCTTGGGTGGCTTTCGTGCGGGGGGGGCTGCTACTGGGCTCACGGCGAACTGAAACCTCAGTCTGTTCGCTTTGGGCG